ATATTAACTATTTTTATATAGGGATAATTCTATATATCACAAATGGATATTATAAAACTGATAATTATAATCACATTGCAAATGACTAAATTTTGATCCCTGAAATCTTTGGTAATACCAATGTTCACTTTGTTGCAGCACGCCCCATATATTAATATGTTGTATCACACACTATTTGTTATCATAAAACAAAATTCAATTAATTAACCTTTATAAGAATAGGGTTTTTTATGTTTGTTGTTTAGATGGAAAACTATAACTTTATGTATACACACGCACACACACACAAAAGAGCATTTAAAGTGTTGGCCTTTTACCCATTCGCCTAAAAGGCGCACATTAGCATGGGATTTTAATTTCAATTCCAAAAAAGATAGAGAAGCAACAAAAGGATCAACAATATGATAAAAACCATTGTTAAACAGATGTAGAAGATGATGAAACGTGTTTGCAAAGTGTAATCAACTGATGAGATAGTCCAATAAAATGAACGAAATGATTGGCCATCGGCAAAATTTCCAATCCAATGAACGTGTTCGTAAATGCTTGACCATCTTCCAAAAGTTATTATATGTGTCCAAGTGTAGAAAAATGTTAATATTAGTGAAAACAAAAAAAAAGGCTAACTAATTGAAAAAAAAAATTATATATCAATAATATATACCAGATTCACTTTTAGTAAAATGATAATAGCACTACTGACCGTATGAAGTACAATCGTGGAAGCTTTAATCGTGAAATTAGAAATATTTTTTTGCACTTGAGACAGCACTGGGGCGTGGAAAGCTATAAAAACAACAAATTGAGATATTTCTTGATGCTTTATATCCTTTTTGTAAATGATAATGTTTAAAAATAAAAACAAAATGACTTTTGTGAGATATGGCACCCATCCTTTTTATTATGTGACAAAAATTAATTTTGATAAATATTGATATTAAACTATTCTAAATAATATAAATCAAATGAATAATCATTAGGATTATTGATCAAGATAGGCAAAATAATAACTTACAAAGAATATGGTACATAATACATGATTATTAACGGAAGAATGGCTAGTGATAATGAAACTATATATGAAATAATTAAAAGCACACGAACTTAAAAGCAATAAGTTATGATAATGATCATTATCTTTGATGAATTCTTTATGGTGATGTCGAAAAATATCGAAAAAATAGGCGAAGGCGGATTTGCGACCATATACAAATTACTCGAGTAGATAGTTGGAATAGACGACGAAGAAATACATTATGAAGATAGTGTTGTTGTTGTATTAAAAATACACAAAGGAATTTTTAAATGAGGTAATAATTCATTTTTACTTTACAGATTTTTTAGTTTTGGAATGGAAGTTTCTATTGTCAATTGTAAAATAAAAAAAATGAACGTGAAAAATATTTTTTCTTCCTCTTTTCCCTAAAAAAAATTCTTAGTTTTTAGTAAGTATCTACCACATACATATACATATACCACACACAATTACATAGATCTGCATTTCAAACTTTAAAAACGAGAAAAAAGCAATTTTGAGTTAATTCACTTGAATTGTTGACAAAATTGTATTTTAAATCCATCCATTCTAAATTTACATATAAATAAGCTATTTTTATCATCTGCATTGTGTACAAATTAAATAATAATAATAAACAATTGTTTTTTATTCATTATTATTATTATTATATATTTATTATAAATTGTAAACTTTTTTTGAAATATTTAATCTAAAAGGATTTCGTGTAGCTATCTATGGCTTATATTAAAGGAGAAATTTTTCGAATTGCGTCACAACACAGAGTACTAGTCGTACGTTTATTTATTATAAACAAAGGTAGATAAACAGTATACAAAAAAAAATAGTGAAGAATAAAAAAGCTCAACCCATTTCGTCAACTCGGCCAATTCTGTTGGCTAATCAGCAACAATTCCTAATTGGTCTTCAAGACTGCGCATTGGCCAATTTTTCCAAATGGTGTAAAATACCTTATATAAAATCATCACCTTGTATAAAAATCTCTAATTGTTGTGCGATTTATCGCTCAAAAATTTTTATTTTCCCACGTCTGTTCCGATTTGTGTGTACATCTCCATATGAAAGTTCGGCATTTTTCAAAAAAGTGTATTCTTAATGAAGAAAGATATTTATAATGGCATCTTAGTTGATAATATACCAAGGTTATTTGTGGATACAAAAACTTTCGAATGTTGAAACCACCACCAAAAAGGATTCTGATTTTTTCGATGGTTAGAGAAGTCGGTAGTTACCAAGAAAAATTGATAATTTATTATCATCTACATTATCATCTACAAATTCTACCACTACCGCACAACTACATAAATAAACAACGATTTTTTTCATCTTTGTCCACACACCATACTATCGTATTTTAGTATGTGTTATATTATGGATTCTGATTTATTGAAAATAATAATGGGATGGAAATTGCAATGTTGATAAATATGATAATGATGGATATGATAATGTATGTGTACGAGGAGAATAATAATAGTAATATTGACAGAAGTGAAGGTGTCATAAGCATCAATAGCAATGTTATAACAGAATGAGAAATAATAGAAAATGATAGAGATAAAGTAATTTAGAAAAAGAAGATACGGTTGGGACTATTTATTATAAAGGAATTCCTAAGGATACTTGTCCAACTAAAGTGAAACGTGAAGTAAGAAGTCGTGGAATTGAACTAGCATATCACAACATTGATTTGGACATCTTTCTTCTATACATAACATTAGTGAGAATTCGTTGAAACAAAAATTAGATGCACAATCATATCAATTCTCACTTGATGAGAAAGTTTTGCCAATGACCTTTATCTTGTGACGAAAATAAAAAATGCTGCTCTTTTAAGATTAATTGTTGGTATTCAAGCAGTTGATGAAAAATATTTTATTTGGGAATTCTTATAGTTAAATGAAAATTGTCTTAGTTTTAATAAACTTTTTGGTTAAAAATTGCTTTCATAAGGGATAAAATCAGATCTTACTTAATCCAAGATATAAAATGTCCTTAATATAAAAGTCCATCCAATTAGTTAATTTAAAATTGACCTATTTTTGTTTTCAAAGTTATGTCACATATTGACTATCACCAGAAAGAAGAGAGTATGAATTTGTGTATGTAGCATACGGCAACAAAACATTATTATTATTATATAATATCAAATTAGTAAAGCCAATAGTAATTTTTTTTCATTGTTGCATATAATAAATATGAGTTATTGTATGTCCATCTGGAAATTTTACATGCAACAATGGAAATTTTAGCATGTCTCATTTCACAAGTAGACATACAATAAAATTCTTTTATCTTAATATATTTTGCTTCTAACGATTTTTATAATACTATTATTCTTTTTGGATTTTCTTAGTGCAGTAGTGTCTTTGTTAACATTGACATCTGGAGTATAGATCATCTGTTGTCATTGTCATGATTTGATTATCAGGTTCTGAATTAATTCATTAGGGATTAGTAATATTTTTAATATTTTTGAAAATCACCCAAACCTCGTGTTTTAATAGATAATCAACTCATATACTATAAATCGGGGTTGGCCATATTTAGTATTTTATTGATGGAAATGACCAGACCAAAACTTATAAATGTCAATAATCAGTGGGATAACAAAATAATAATAATAATAATATAATAATAATAATAATAATAATAATAATAATAACAATAATAATAACAAAACGATAATGAAGATTTACAATATGGAATTCTTTTCGATTAAAAAAAAAAAACTTAAACTGTTCAATAACAAAAACGCTCAATAAATATTACATAATATCTGCTAAAATTCCAAATGTTTCAAGTTTTTTTTTTGGGGGGATATTATGGGCTAATTTTCAATTACTTAATCAATTCTAGACCCACGGAGCAAGCTCTCTAACTTCTCAGGAGAAACAAGTCAAAATGCTTGCAGACATATTAAAACCATTTTTGATACTTACCAGGAGGAACCTTCCAATATAAAATCTCCTAGAAGAAGGACATCAACAATTACAATCCTTTCAACACCTACAATATCAGAGTTGGACCGTTATATTGCAATGGAGAGAGATGAAGATATCCAATTGTAAGTAATATGGCACGAGAAGATATTCATCAGGAAAATAAATCTCATGTAAACCTACGCAGGGTTTAAAACTGACCAGCATTATGCGGAAATGTTAACAGAATTACCAAAATATCGTCATAATGCTGGCCAATTCTGAACCCTACGTAGGTTTATGTAAGATTTATTTCCTGATGTTAGGCAATGAATAGCTATTGTTTTAAGTGAAAGTCATTACACTGACAACCCTGATGCTAGATGTAGTGCATATATAAACAATCTAGACGAACGTAGATGTGAATTCCTATTTATTAAAATTTCTTTTGGTCCTTTTTCTCCCGAAGAAAGTCATACAAGAGAAGATCGGTTGAGGTTAGGTAAATATGCAGTAGATTCGTGGAACCATTTATTAATAGATTTGAGTGCGAAAAAGAAATAGTTGAATTATTTCAACAAATGGAAAATTTTTCTTTAAAAGAGAACCGCGAAGCGGTTAAGAACTTGTGGCGACAAGGCTACAGAAGTCCAACACAAATCTCTCAAAAGACTAGTGTTCCTCTTCGCTCCTGTGAACGATATGTAGCTTATCTTACAATTCAAGCAAACTAGTGTTTCATCAGAACAGGAATTCTCGGTTGCTGGAAATACAATTAGTAAAACGTGAAATCGTTTGTTGCCAGAAATTGCAAGAGCATGAAGAAGTAAAATAGGAAATTTATTAAATAAATGTCGTGTAAATGATCTGACCAATAAACACGTGGATAGCAGTTTCAC